AGATAGTTAAATCGCTGGTAGAGATAAGTCGTATAGATAGTTACATCGCTGGTAGGGACAAGTCGTATAGATAGTTACATCACTGGTAGGGATAAGTCGTATAGATAGTTAAATCGCTGGTAGGGATAAGTCTTATAGATAGTTACATCGCTGGTAGGGATAAGTCGTATAGATAGTTACATCGCTGGTAGGGATAAGTCGTATAGATAGTTACATCGCTGGTAGGGATAAGTCGTATAGATAGTTAAATTGCTGGTAGGGATAGGTTGTATAGATAGTTACATCGCTGGTAGGGAAAAGTCATATAGATAGTTAAATTGCTGGTAGTTAGGTTGTATAGATAGTTACATGCTGATAGGGATAAGTCGTATAGATAGTTAAATCGCTGGTAGAGATAAGTCGTATAGATAGTTACATCGCTGGTAGGGATAAGTCGTATAGAAAGTTAATCGCTGGTAGGGATAAGTGGTATAGATAGTTAAATAAAGCAGCAGGGACAAGTCATATGGATAGTTAAATCGCTGGTAGGGATAAGTCGTATAGATAGTTAAATCGCTGGTAGGGATAGTCATATAGATAGTTAAACTCGTTACATAGCTGATAGGGATAAGTCGTATAGATAGTTAAATCGCTGGTAGAGATAAGTCGTATAGATAGTTACACATCGCTGGTAGGGATACGTTGTATAGATAGTTAAATCGCTGGTAGAGATAAGTCGTATAGATAGTTACATCGCTGGTAGGGATAAGTCGTATAGATAGTTACATCGCTGGTAGGGATAAGTCGTATAGATAGTTACATCGCTGGTAGGGATAAGTCGTATAGATAGTTAAATCGCTGGTAGGGATAAGTCGTATAGATAGTTAAATCGCTGGTAGAGATAAGTCGTATAGATAGTTACATCGCTGGTAGGGATAAGTCGTATAGATAGTTACATCGCTGGTAGGGATAAGTCGTATAGATAGTTAAATCGCTGGTAGAGATAAGTCGTATAGATAGTTACATCGCTGGTAGGGATAAGTTGTATAGAAAGTTAAATCGCTGGTAGGGATAAGTCGTATAGATAGTTACATCGCTGGTAGGGATAAGTCGTATAGATAGTTAAATGGTAGGAGGATTACATAGAGCACCGAAAAGATAGTTACACACATCACTGGTAAGGGATAGAAAATTGCGTATAGTTAAATCGCTGGTAGGGATACGTCGTATAGATAGTTACATCACTGGTAGGGATAAGTCGTATAGATAGTTAAATCGCTGGTAGGGATAAATTACATAGATAGTTACATCGCTGGTAGGGATAAGTCGTATAGATAGTTAAATCGCTGGTAGGGATACATCGTATAGATAGTTACATCACTGGTAGGGATAAGTCGTATAGATAGTTAAATCGCTGGTAGGGATACGTCGTATAGATAGTTACATAGCTGATAGGGATAAGTCGTATAGATAGTTAAATCGCTGGTAGAGATAAGTCGTATAGATAGTTACATCGCTGGTAGGGATAAGTCGTATAGAAAGTTAAATCGCTGGTAGGGATAAGTGGTATAGATAGTTAAATCGCTGGTAGGGACAAGTCATATGGATAGTTAAATCGCTGGTAGGGATAAGTCGTATAGATAGTAACATCGCTGGTAGGGATAAGTCATATAGATAGTTAAACTGCTGGTAGGGATAGGTTGTATAGATAGTTACATAGCTGATAGGGATAAGTCGTATAGATAGTTAAATCGCTGGTAGAGATAAGTCGTATAGATAGTTACATCGCTGGTAGGGATAAGTCGTATAGATAGTTACATCGCTGGTAGGGATAAGTCGTATAGATAGTTAAATCGCTGGTAGGGATAAGTCTTATAGATAGTTACATCGCTGGTAGGGATAAGTCGTATAGATAGTTACATCGCTGGTAGGGATAAGTCGTATAGATAGTTACATCGCTGGTAGGGATAAGTCATATAGATAGTTAAATTGCTGGTAGGGATAGGTTGTATAGATAGTTACATAGCTGATAGGGATAAGTCGTATAGATAGTTAAATCGCTGGTAGAGATAAGTCGTATAGATAGTTACATCGCTGGTAGGGATAAGTCGTATAGATAGTTAAATCGCTGGTAGGGATAAGTGTATAGATAGTTACATCGCTGGTAGGGATACGTCGTATAGATAGTTACATCCCTGGTAGGGATAAGTCGTATAGATAGTTAAATCGCTGGTAGGGATACATCGTATAGATAGTTACATCACTGGTAGGGATAAGTCGTATAGATAGTTAAATCGCTGGTAGGGATACGTCGTATAGATAGTTATATCGCTGGTAGGGATAAGTCGTATGGATAGTTAAATCGCTGGTAGGGATAAGTCGTATAGATAGTTACATCGCTGGTAGGGATAAGTCGTATAGATAGTTACATCGCTGGTAGGGATAAGTCGTATAGATGGTTACATCGCTGGTAGGGATAAGTCGTATAGATAGTTAAATCGCTGGTAGGGATACGTTGTATGGATAGTTAAACCATTTTATTTATAAAAGAGGTAAAGGTGTAAAGTTAAATTCTTCATTGAGGCCATCTGGTGTAAGTGTTCATTAGCAAAATGTTATTGAAATTGCCCTTTCTGGTATTTAAAGTCAGTTTTTCTAGTGCCTGAAAAGTCATGTGGGTAGGATCCCCATCATGGTGGTTTCTGACATGGAGATACATTAGGGTTTGTGATTGAACAAACATGTTGTAGAATCCTTCGTCTTAGTTGTTGGTAGGTTCTGCCTCTATTTTGGATTCCACAACTGCATGTTATTAAATATATGACACGTGTGGAGCTGCAATTAATAAACTCTTTGATCTTGTATTCTTTTTGGGTTTTCGTACTTAATACCATTTTTGTTGGTTTGATGAATTTTCAAGCTTTACAGTGTCCACATTTATATACTCTAGTAGTCTATGTTAGCCAAGTGGATTGTGCTTTAGTTAATTATATAACATGTTACTTTATTTAGGTTCTATATGACTGTGTACCAGGTAGTCCCTGAGACTCTTAGATCTGCGTGCTGTAATATTGGGGATTTGCTAATGTTTTGCGGCAAAAACGTGTCGTGCTGTAGGATCGGCCAATTGTGGGAGATAATTTTTAACGCTGGATCCCAGTATTGGTCATATGTACCTACACAGCGAATCACTTTTGAGTCTACCTTGTTCTCAGACTCTCACTTCTGTTTTGTCCAAGTGCTCGTTGATAGGCCTTTTTAAAGATTTTGTTTGGGTAACCTTTCTGTTTGAACATTGTTCTTAATTTCTCAGCTTCTTCATAAAAGGTCTCTTCGTTCGAACAGTTACGTTTCGCCCTCAAATATTGTCCGTAAGGTATGCCTGATTTTAATTCTGTACCAACCCAGAATTATAGGCTTAGGGATATGCCCAATTGCCCAATGATTGGTGTCAAAGCCATTGTTGTGACAATCTGTGACTCCCTTTTAAGATTGGAATAATTCAAATGAAACATCCAGTATCCTTATTCAAATATCAGAAATAATACAGCACTTTGTAAAGACTAAACAAGGTCCCTTAAAAACAAAATAGACTATACCTATAACTATTTGAATTAAAGACTGGATAAGTTTCAACTTTCCATGCATTTATTAGTGTCTAGAAGAAATAAGGCATAAGTTTATAATTTATAATGAAATATATGGATCTCGTTAGTACCAACTTATAGATTACTTTCAACTTCTTTTTATCTGATGATACTAATATAAATCTTTAATGTTTTCCATCAGTAATAATTATAAGTGACTCACATTGCTTGAAAAGCAGTTTAACACAAAATAAGATACCTCAGTACAACAGATTCTGAAGGGGTTAATTTCACATAATGAGTGTTCCCCTCTCCATTGGAGGTGTATTATGATGAATTTTAAACTTACCAATAAGACACTCACACTCAGAACCAATCAGACGGTATCTCCTCCTTTTTAAACCTTGTGTTCTGTACTGGCTGGTTCCCCTCTGATGAGCCAGGTCAGGCGAAACTCGTGCGTCAGGGGTCCTATCAGTGCTGCCCTGTTTTATTCCCTAACAAACTGTGTTTTCACATTTTTGCACTTACCACGTTTGTCCTTCTTCTTGCACTTTATGTATATGGTTTATGTGCTTATATTTTGCACTTTATGCATGAGTCCTTTGGCTTACATCAAGCACTTGTATGCCACCTGATCAAGATATACTGTTAAGGATTGTGTATTTATTCGCACTAGTGTATTAGTATGATAGTTGGTACAATTCATTTTTACCTAGATCTGGTTGTGTGTTGGATTTTTATTTGGTGGCTCTCCTGTATAATGCCATTGTATGTTTAGGCTGGAAATTGGTAGTAATGTAGTGGGATTGTATTCTTAAGTATTAGGGAATTGTGGTATTACTTCTAAACTGGAAAGCTTAGACATGAAGTACATTTTTAAATAGCATTTTATAAAATACTGCTGCATATCTGTTCAGGGGCCAACTGTGTTTAATTGCCCTTGTATGTATATGCTACAATGACAATAAAGTTGAATCTGAACAACTGTACATTTCTCTGTAGGTGGTTCACAAATGAGACAAGCCTTGTTCCATCATGCATTGCTTCAGATGATATTACAAAACTTAACAAAGAAATTATTCTTCCTTTGGTGCCCAGAATGTCATTTTAATGTATACACACTTTGAGGATGTTGGTGTTAAAATATGTAGGCTATTAATGCTGAATTAATAAGATTTATTTTATTTGCTTTACGGCCTACAAAGATGCTTTAAATTATTAAGCAAGTTTACTGTAAAACAAAACATTGAGTAAACATTTATGTAACAAAATACATTAAAATAATGGAAATTACTCCTCTTCCACAATAAGAAGGCAAAAAAATTTAATTAATGCCTAAACTATACATTTATACATTTAGGAAACACACCAATTTGTTGAAAGAAAAATTAAGGAAAATGGTTGAGAGAAAAAAATATTGTTTATTTTTTGCTTCTTATGAACATCTTATTCATTATTCATTAAATAGCTAGAAATTGTGCAATGAGAATGGAGTTGTCACATTTAAGACAAAATATAATATACAATTATAAAATAAGTTGGGATTTTACAGTGAATATCTTGTGTGATTCTTTTTTTTGTTGTTGTACAAGATAATTCTATGGGAGAAATATACATATTTTTATGTAAAAGTTTCAATACTAAATCTGTTCAGAGGGGAACTAAGCATGCCTGCTTAAATTGAATGCAAACTCTAATTATTCATCATTGCGTATATTTCTGATTGCATCCATTAATCTGTCCATGATTGGAATTGGACCTGAATAATCGTTGGTTTGTATATCTTCCAACATCTTCTGATATTGAAGTGGTAAGTCGTTCTGTTTTGCACCCATGCACATAACCTGTTAATATAACGGGGAGGAAAAAAGCATTAAAAAGGCATTTATTAGTATGAAACAAGTGCTCTTTAACACCTTTATGTGCATTGTTGAATCATGCAGTTCAGTTTAGCTGCTGCACTGTGGCTTTAAACATCATTCTGATGACCCAATACCAACTGGTCCAATATCACTAGACCACATAGACATTTAGGGTTCCTAGTGTTTAATCAGGTTAGAGCTCAGGTGTTTCCACCAAACTCTGAGGTTAGACAATGTTAAAAGGTTACAAAAGCCAGCACATGACTCGAATTGTCTGACAGAAACACAATACAGCAATCCCAAATGAGAATAATATAAAATCTATATGAATATTGTCCTGATCCCTGCAGCACATACAACCTTCCCACCAGTTAAGAAATATTGCCTTTGAGTCTTCACGTTCTCTATTTTCTGTTCGCTCACAAGTGCTTAGTTAGTTGTAGATAAAACTTTCTTTTTTAGTTAGTCTGATAAGAAGTGCAGAAATGTTTGCCCTATGTAATCTTGCACTACATCTTGTAAAACCCATGATGGTCCTTATTGAAGCCAAACTGCATCATCAAGGAGTTTGGGATGCAAAATATCTGTTCCCAGAGAGCGATCTTCTTCCTCAGTTAAGGAAATAATGACAGTAATGCTACCAAGGAGAGAAGTAAAGAAGTAGGGTCCCTTCTGTTAGCTTGGGTCACAATTTACAAAGAGATCACGATCAACTGTACTGACCCCCATGGTCTGACAAGGTCTCCCTGCATATCTGCCTGTATTGGGTGTGTAAAATTCCCATGAAAATAAAATGTGTGATATTCACAGAATTAATTGTCATTTTGGTTCATTAATTTGTTCCAAAAATTATTTTTGTTCTGTCTTATGTTCTGTTAACATATCTATTAGGATCACCCAGAATTCCTTATTTTTTTTGTTTATTTAACTAATTTTGTTCAACCATTAATCTCATTAAAAAGACTCAATCACAATTATCCATCATTAAAGTAATAATAAGTCCCTCGCCGAACTATGAGCGAATGGTGTTGAACGAAATTTGTTCGGTGACCTATTCACTAATTCATTTTCAATTTGTCCAAAAATTTATGTATATGTCTAATAAATAAAACCAGTGTATTCGACTGAGGTTGGTGATAAAATGGTTAAATGAAAAGTTTAAAAATGCTGTCAGTTAAATAGCCAAATACATACTTTTTGTAACTACTATGAAAGATTTAACCTCATCATGCCAAATTTTAAAAAGTTTTAGCTTTAAAACTGTAATTCTCCTGGCAATATTTGTTTTATAAATTCACAGAAATCATAGACATATTGGGCTTTTAACAATGATGACTAATTATTGAATCTATTTTGAGACATGTTTCTTGAGCTGCACTTGTCACGTAAAAATTATTAAATGCAAAACTGAACCCCCACCCCCTTTTTTTCTATTCTTTAAAATGTTATACATATTTAATGTTTTGTTATATATACAAATGGGGTACCAAAAGAAAGCCATGTTCTCCTTTAAAGGAACACCATAACACTAGGATTACAAATATGTATTCCTAACGCTACAAGGTCTCATTATTTAGTTTAGACATCCCCAAACTTAAAAAAAATATATTTTTACTGATTTGCTTACTTTTTTCCACCATCGCTCCTCCTACTGCAATGTTTCATTGCCTTCTTGTCCAATCCAATGCATCTCATAGAGAAGCACTGTGCATGAGAAGCCCGTGCTCGTCAAGCGCCATGTGCACATCAAGTCAAATGTTTCTCATAAAGAAGCACTGAATCCAATGATCAGTATTTGATAATATTCAAGTCAAGCTCAGTTATGGTTGTAACGGAATACAAAAGAATAGATGGTCTTGCGAGACATGAGAGACGGCAGTGTGACATAAGGGTTTGGAGAGCTCCCCTGAAGGGGGTTAGTTGAATTGCAGATGGTGGATGGGGGTGGCAGCCTAGGGCCTCTCCCATTTCCAGCCAGTTATTCGTCCTTCACCTCTCCCTGCGCCCTTCCCTTACCCCCCTACTTTTTTCCCCTTCATCTTCTTACTTTCTCATCTCATTTCCCTCTTTCCCTCACTATTTATTATTACTTTTACTCTTTTACCATCCAGGACAGCTGTAATGCAATACTGAACAGGCTTTACTTTGCTGCTTGCGGAATGTGTTGGCAGTCGACAGGTGAAGGAAATGCTTTTAATGGGGCGGGACTGCTACCTTTAACCAGTTCACCCAGTTTTCCATATGGCTAATATATACCACAGGTATTGGAGACTGTCTGATCCGCAATCGAACACGTAGAGCTGGGATTTCATACATTATGATAGTGGGGTTCATTATATCTACAGCTTAGCGGGAAGGTCATGTTTGATAGAAAGACAGTTTTTTTAGGCCAATCAATGGATACATGAACCTGCTCATGGAAGGAGCTCCTCACTGATTTTAGTGCAGCAAACAGCCCTTAGTAAACTATAAGGCTTAAGCACAGTGGCACAGCAATTTTTCATGGATATTTCATGGATCCCTGCCCGAGGTGCTGTCCTGACCCCCCTGAGATTAACTGCAACACAAACCGTTCAAAGAACTTGTCTTCTGTGATCCGTGTTATGGGTTACATTAGTTCGTATTTTGCACTCTTACCACAATGTCATCTCACTTTAATGATGTACGCTTTGTATTTCTCGAACAATATCCACTAAAAATGAGGTTGACAAAAAAACAAAAAAAAACACAACTCCGTTATGAGGGCGGGAGTACCGGTAGAGGCTGTCTGGAAAACAGCCGCTAGAAGTGTGTTTAGCCTTACATTCAAAAAGGTCATGTTTTAGATTACAGTGCTAAAAATGTCACAGCCACTGACACCAGATGACTTCATTGAGATGAAGTTATCCAAGTACCTTTAGTGTCCCTTACATATAATATGTATGGATGTACGTAAGCAAAAGGGTTAAATTGTGGTAGAAGAACATATGGCAAAAGGACGTTGATCACAAACAAGTTACATCTCAAAAAAGCCTTGGTCCTTAATAGGTTAAGAAAATGTCAAGAAATGTTTCGTATCACACATTTGAACACATGATCTAAATTAATAAACAATGCTACCATAACAACAAAGCACAAACAACAAAGACACACACATATATTGTTTTATAAATGGATACAAAGGATGTAGTTGCTCTAGCTATGGCTTGGCTCGGTGTCACAGTTCATACACATACCTGTTTGTACTGGGGGGACGTGAGTCCGTAAACACATTTATTCATTTGGTAGCACCGGCAGATGAGATCTCCTCCTGCTGTCTGGACTTTAATCTCAATTGGTTCATAAATACCCTTGTGAACACCTTCCTGTCTGCAGAACAAAAAACAAACAATTTTACTGGGATGTTTCAACAGGATACATCAAATAAATGAGACGGTTAGCAAGGTATAGGAATCTCCAACAAGCAAATCAAAAATAGCACTAGGAAAATTATGTATTACTGGTCCTTAAAGGTGGCAAAATGCCACACTGCGCCAATCAGCATCTCCACCTTTGTGCAGTATTATCCATTTACTTACATGTCCAAAGAGTTCAAAGAAGAAATGCCCATTTTCCATACAACACCCCAGACTTCATCTCCTTCACTCTCCACCACAGTAGCCACTCCTCCGTGCCACCTGGAATTCATGTTACCTTCAGAGGTGCCAAAAGCAAGCTTGAAATTCTGAAAGAAAAGGGAGCCATGTCTGTTTTGAACGACCAGGTGTGTGAAGACTGCCTTAGCAAGCATAGTAACAAAAGGTAAATTAGAAACCTAACCTTACTTCCCATCCTCTACCCCACATTGGATTTTACAGCCCATTGTTCCCGACTGTTTTTTTTTTTTCTTAGCTATCTTTGTTTCATGCTATCTTTTTATTTTTCTATTCTTTATTATCTTATGAGGTGTAAATCCTACTTGTTCTCTAATTGCACTTACAGCTTTTTCAATATTCTTTTTTACATCCCTGTGTTGATATTGACATACCTGCAGCTTGCTTCTCGGTAACTCTATCAGATGATATAGTAACAACACTGTCAGTTGCATCACGGCATACGCCTAACCACACTACGTCAGTTGCATCATGGCATACGCCTAACTACACTATGTTAGTTGCATCATGGCATACGCCTAACCCCACTATATCAGCTGCATCATGGCATACACCTAACCCCACTATGTCAGTTGCATCACGGCATACGCATAACCACACTATGTCAGTTGCATCATGGCATACGCCTAACTACACTATGTTAGTTGCATCATGGCATACGCCTAACTACACTATGTTAGTTGCATCATGGCATACACCTAACCCCACTATATCAGCTGCATCATGGCATACGCATAACCACACTATGTCAGTTGCATCATGGCATAAGCCTTACTACACTATGTCAGTTGCATGATGGCATACGCATAACCACACTATGTCAGTTACATCATGGCATAAGCCTTACTACACTATGTCAGTTGCATGATGGCATACGCCTAACTACACTATGTTAGTTGCATCATGGCATACACCTAACCCCACTATGTCAGTTGCATCATGGCGTACGCCTAACTACACTATGTTAGTTGCATCATGGCATACACCTAACCCCACTATGTCAGTTGCATCATGGCATACGCTTAACTACACTATGTCAGTTGCATCATGGCGTACGCTTAACTACACTATGTCAGTTGCATCATGGCGTACGCTTAACTACACTATGTCAGTTGCATCATGGCGTACGCTTAACTACACTATGTCAGTTGCATCATGGCATACGCCTAACTACACTATGTCAGTTGCATCATGGCATACACCTTACTACACTATGTTAGTTGCATCACGGCATACGACTTAGCGAAAAATTTTTTGCATAATAATACACAAAAATATAACCTTCTACATATTTTTATACCACTACTGAAACCTATGTAAAACAGATCTGTAAATTTCTCCTAAATAATGCCTGGATTAACTAAATGAATTCTAGCATATAATGTAATTCTAACCTTAATTTCAACATTAACTAAATACTAAACCTAGCCCTACTCCAGGATGTCAAGGCACAGTGTGTGACAGCCAAATCACAGTGTTTGTATGTCTTGGAACCCCAGACAGAAATGGGATACGGCTGTACAATCTATAGAGGGAACATATAAAGGAAAAAACACAATAGTGTGATACAGTAAATACTGTGAATAGTGCGCTTAAATGGATGCACTCACAAGATGATGAAGATGAAAAAGCATTCATAGGGTGCCTCCCCAGATAACATAGGGGGCTAGTGGTTTCCCCTATCCGATGTAAAGCGACCAATGGAACACGGGACTCCAGGTAAGTAATAGTAGAAAAGCAATACTTTTATTTTCTTAAAAGGTGAACAAGCACCATAAGAATAAAGGTTTAAAAGTGCAGCAATAGGTCCAACGCGTTTCGTTCAAGACTAGAACTTCATCAGGGACCGCACAATAAAAAAATCACAGACAATATCATAGATTGTAAAATAACATCCTACTTTCCCCTTAACAGAATCTCTATATATAGGGCTAGTCCCAAAGTCCCATTTGTCCATAGTGTAGGAGTATCCAGTAGCCAGCCAATCATCTATCCAGGGGTATTGTCCTCCAGCTGATAGTGTTTGGGTAGTTTAAAAAGGGCGCGTTCAATGTAAAAGCCGAAACCGGAAGTGGATGTCTGCCTTCACTTCCGCGTTCCATTTGCGTTCCATATGCGTTCCAAACACGCTCCAAGTGCGTTCCAAATACATTTACTGCTCTTTTTCAACTAGAACAGCGAGGAGCCATCAATATAAGTGATCATCAAAAGGACAAAGCCCAAAAGTGTTAAATGCATTAAATGTAATTAATCTCTAAAAGAAGAAAAGTGAATTAGTGCATGTAATATACAACAACCATGTTAAGATAGTTCATATGGAACTTCCCCACATATTATATATATGACAATATCATACACCATTAAATAGTGCCATGTATGTCTATTTAAAGTGACAAACATCTCATTATTCAAAAAATAAGAACACAAATAATATATTCCTAAACAAAGTTCCCTCAATATCAATAATAATCATTTTAAACCATATAACCTGCAAGGTACACCTAACTATATAATATAAAGATTTTTTTTATTTTTTTTTTTTATTATATTTTGTTATATAAATTATGAATTGTATTGATTAAAGACACTTCTTTTTCCCTATATTTAGACTGCCAGAGCTCCTCATATTCCCAAAGATACTTATGGAATAATTTACATAAAGGAGAAGAATAACCAAAAAATCAGTCCAAGAAACACACCAGATCGATCCCAATATTCAGGCCCCTAGGTTCAAGGGTCTTTAGTTTGTGTATCCAAAAGGTTTCCCTTTGGGATAACTTTTTAATCCTATCACCTCCCCGCCAGTAGGGAAGGACATGTTCGATACCCATACACTTGAAATCTCTAAAAGAGAAGGAAGGACAATTACTGCAATGGGCAGAGACTGAATGAGTAACCAGTCCTTTACGTATATTATTTAGGTGTTCCAAGATCCTGACCTTCAGGATACGTTTCGTGCGTCCCACATACTGTTTGCCACACGGACACTGCAGTAAGTATACTACATAGTCCGTGTGGCAACCTATTAATGATTTAATCTTGAAAGTCTCCCCCGTGATCTGGCTAATAAATTCCCTAGTTCTCCCCATAGAGGCGGTGGTACATGCTTTGCACACATTACATCCCCTAAAACAACCCGATTCAGGGGATACATTAGAACTATTCATTTTAATAGCATAGCTAGGGGCTAGCATATTTTTAAAGTTCTTATTTTTCTTAAATATCACCATCGGGCGTTCAGACAAAGAATTACCCAAAATGGGATCCTGTTGTAATATGGGCCAAAAATCACTTAGGCTCCTTTTGATCTTAAAATGATCCGTATTATATTGGGTGACAAAGGCTGATTTAAAATTCTTATTCCCAACAGTATTAGGAGGTTTATCCTCCAGGAGTTTGTTCCGTTCAAGGAGACCAATTGATCGAATTTCTTTTTCTAACGTATTCTTATTGTAGCCCCTTGCACATAATTTATTTTTTATATGGGAAGATTGAATCTGGAAGTCTTGAGGGCGAGAACAATTGCGTCTCAATCTGGTAAATTGGCTCCGTGCTATGCTCCTAAGCCAAGGCTTATGGTGACAGCTTTGTTGGTGTACAAAGCCATTCCCATCTGTTGGTTTAAAAAAACATTTAGTTTGAATCTGACCCTGATCACAAAAAATATCAAGATCCAAAAAATGGATCTCATGTTTATTCCACTCGGGGGTGAAGACAAGATTGTATAAGTTGGAATTTAAATATTGAACATAATCAGAAAAACTATTGGAGGACCCCTTCCAAATAATGATCACGTCATCGATATAGCGCCGCCAGAGCACCAAGTTCTCCCTCCAGTCATGCTGCGACCACACGAATAATTCCTCCCATCTACGCATGTAGGTGTTGGCATAACTGGGGGCGAACCTGGTGCCCATGGCGGTCCCTGTGATCTGTAGATAATACTGATCATTAAAAAAGAAAAAATTATGTTCCAAAATAAATTGTACTGAGGTCAATATAAATTCCTTTTGACCTTGAGATAGGTCCTGATCTTGGGACATATAGTAATCAAGAGACTCCAATCCTAAACAATGACTAATTACCGTATACAGAGAGGTCACGTCTAGCGTGGCCCAACTGTATTCAGGGTTCCACTCAATGCTGTCCAGTTCTTGTAAAAAAGACTTGGTATCCCGTATAAAGGAGGGCGCCCCTTGGGTGTACTTTTGAAGGAAAGAGTCCACATACGCGTACAGATTAGCAGTGAGCGAATTAACTCCACTGATAATAGGGCGACCTGGTGGATCAGGGAGGCGTTTATGAGTTTTTGGGAGGAAATAAAAAATCGGAATCACTGGACTTTTTTGAAATAAGAAATCAAAGTTTTTTAAAGATATGATTCCATTGTCTCTAGCTGTAGTCAAAATTTCTTTTAGTTCTAAATTGTACAATGGCATAGGGTTATTCTGCAGAGTGATATAAGTTTTTTTATCCCCTAAAATATTAAGGGATTCCTTCAAATAATAAGACATAGTCATCAACACAATACCTCCTCCCTTATCAGCCTCCCTGATCACCAGGTCCTCTCTTTCCATAAGATGTTTTAAAGTCGCTTCTTCCCTTTTTGTTAGATTAAAGGGGCATGATCCACTTTTTCTCTTTTTAGCAATAGATTGGAAAGCCTGATCAACCATATGTTCAAAAGTTTCTAAGAAGGGGCCCTTACTTTGAACCGGAAAAAAATGAGATTTAGGTTGAAATCTATAGTCTTCCCTTTCAGATACAGTATCTATTTCCCTCTCAGTGGTAGATGGATGTAGGAGGAAATGTCTTTTTATGGTTAGAGAGCGTATAAACTTTTTAAGATCTATATAAAGGTCAAAGTCATTCGCCTTTTTATTAGGGGCAAATTTCATCCCTTTCGAGAGTAGGTCTATCTCCTCAGATGTAAGTGGAATTCCAGTTAAATTAAAAATACCTCTACTCCTTTCCTCCTCATTGGTAAGGGTAGCAGGACTAGGACTCTGAACTAGTCCTCTGTTCTCACCCTCTTGTGTGGTGAATCTTGGTATAAAGGGGTGAACCTGTTGGGATGTTCCCAAGTATCGGTTCTCGGACGAAAATAGTTGGTAATGAATTTTTCTTTCGGGCCCCTGTGTCTCCCTTGAAAATTTATCTCCTGTTCATTAAATTGTGTAGGAGCCCTAAACGTATCCGTTTGATTATATGTGGTCTGAGTACGGGATCTTACATTCCCCTCCCTATCTGGCGTAGGTTTTTTAGGGGGGGTAGGTCTCTGTCTATTCCAAGTTCTAGGGTGGTAAGTAGATCTACCATCCTTAGGTGCAAAATTAGCCCTATAGTTAATTCTAGATCTTGAGTTACTCCTTGTTCTATTCGGTGTTCTTGGAATCATTTTCTTAAAAGGAACATAGCGAGATTTTTTTCTTATTAATTTATTAAGAGTGGAAAAACTATTAGTTAATTTGTCCTCTTTATCCCTGCTATACTTCCTATTCTTTGTTTCAGCAATATTCTCATCAAGTTTTTTAATATTTGTTTGTAGAATTTCATCCCTCTCCTTAAAATCCCTTCCCTCTGTATTAATGGGAGGATTGGAGTCAAGTTCAATTAACTCAGCTTCCAATTTACTCTGTGATTCTTTAGAGTGTCTAATTATAAGTTGTATTAACTGAAAAGAGCAATTAGTAAGGATTTCATCCCATTCTTGTAAGAAGAGATCATCCTCCAATCCGAATGCCGGTGTTTTATCTATTCTGAGACCACGTGGGATTAAGCCTTCCTTGAGATAATTTTCCAAATAGGCTATCTCCCACCATTTTTTTGTTTCAGCAGTTAATAACCTCTCTTTTTTCTTAAAAAACTCATCTAGCCCTTTAAGAGGTTGTGGCTTGTCCCACTCTTGAAACATAGCCTCAAACCTTCTCCTACGGCTATTCTGTAAGTTGGACAAAAAGCTCACATTTGTAGCCATAATCAATACAATCAATAGCAAATATGTGCACCCAAACCACTACTGAAACCTATGTAAAACAGATCTGTAAATTTCTCCTAAATAATGCCTGGATTAACTAAATGAATTCTAGCATATAATGTAATTCTAACCTCAATTTCAACATTAACTAAATACTAAACCTAGCCCTACTCCAGGATGTCAAGGCACAGTGTGTGACAGCCAAATCACAGTGTTTGTATGTCTTAGCTGCCAGTATGGGTCTTCTGAGATTTTATTAAGATATCCTTGGCTCCTATTATGCTGCACTCTTTCTTTATTTCCCTCAGCAGCATAGAAAAATAACATTAAATCAGTATAAAAGAAACCAGTAAATAACATAACAGCATCCTCTTCAAAGCATAATAGGCGGTGTCGAGTATACTACTTCCTTTTTCTTTGCTGCTCCCTCAGTTAAGTGACACTGGGTTCCACGGTTCTGAACCGTGGGATCTTTTACTTTTATTCATATCATTACTGTGGTTAATATAGTTATTACATTTTAATTATAATATTTTTCACATTTATAAATATATTTAGTTACTTCATTTTAACTTAATTTAAATTATTTACTTAATTTGCTTCAGTTATAGGCTTTATTGTATATAATTTTATAATGTCTTTCCCCTCTGAGCTCCCTGGCACATAGGATGATCTAGAATTAGATCGCACCACCTCAAGTGGTTGGATCCATAGAGTGATCTGTTAAGTTAAGCCAACACTGCGGTTGCCACAGAACGCCGCAAACCTGGAGACACAAAATACAAAATTCTGACCAACATGGCTCACAATTTCTGGCAATTTTGCATGATGCACAGCATTTCAGTCACGGCAGAATACATTCAAGGTCTCTCCAACACTACGGCGGATTGGCATTCACGCCACCTCAGAGACTTGGATTTCACAGTCTTCCAAGACATCTGGAACCTACGGGTCTATTGGAAACAGGCCTTTTTGCTTTTCATTTGAATGCTCAACTTCCCCGTTTTATCAGTTGGAGACTAGATTCGACAGCACTGGTTACGAATACTTTCTCCCAAGATTGGTCATCTTGAAGGAATTATGCTTTCCACCCTTTGCACTGATTCCCCATTGTCTTTTCCATCTATGTCGCCAATCCCGCACCATGGTGATCGTGGCTCCTCTATTGCCGTCACAACCATGGTTCCCTCCTCTTCAGGAGATGGCTACGGACCTTCTAAGTCTACTTCCACCTCTCGAGTGCCTTCTTCAGGATCCAGACGGTCTGCCTCATCCTCTTGTTCTCCAAAGTCTCTTGCATCTCACGGTGTGGTTGATTTCAGGGCACCTTGGTCGGTCGAGGGAGTTTCGCAATCAACTGTCCGACTTATCGAGGGCGCATGGGTACCCGACACGAGACAGGCTTATAAATCTGCTTGGAGCAGATGGCATAGTTGGTGCATGAAATTAAATTTGGATCCCATTTCGGCTCCTTTTATGTCTGTCCTCCATTTTCTGACTTCTGAAGGTAAAGTCTATCGCACTGTGGACCTTACCGTTCATCCGTTTCTGCTGGTCATCAAAGTTTCGATGGGACGCCTGTTGGTTGACATCCTGTCATATGTTGACTTTTCTGAGGAATTTATTTTGCTCATCCATCCTTACCACAATACTCTGTCTTGTGGGGTGCCTCTATTGTCTTGAATTTTTTTCTTGCAAGAGGGTTTCTGATGTACGAGCTCTTGATGTGGTTGCTTGTTCCTTTACTCCAGAAGGAGTCCTCTTTGACATTTCTCAAGAAACCTCCTCTAAAACCATTTCATACCCAGCTTTCCCTGATAGATTTCTCCTTTGCCCTGTTGCATGCTTATGGGAGTATGAACTTCGTCCCACTATGTTACAAAATCCTTTAAAACAGTAACTCTTCATCTCCTTTCAAAAGTCACGTCTCCTGGTGTCTACCTCTTCCCTAGCCCGGTGGGTGAAATACATTATGTCTCTAGCAGGTATTGACACCTGTGTGTTTGTGCCTCAATCCGTTCATGGGGCTATGGCTTTTAAGGCTTCCTCGATTGGTTGTCACTCGAAGTCTACATTCCATGATTTCTACTTAAGATCTATTCAACACTTCGCAGGAAACATAATTTCACAGCTTTAAACTAGCACAATAGGAGCCTCAGTGTCTTAATAAAATTCACAAATTGTACTTTTAACATGACGTAGAGTCATGTTTTATTAATGACACAGAGGTGAGTATTATCCCTCCCACCTCTGATAAGTTGACTTTACGGTAAGTCTTTTTTGATTACTGGGTTTTATCCTTGTTATTGACTGACAAGAGCTTAAGGTTTGACCAAACTGAATTTCATGTTATGTATATATATATGATATTCCATGTAAAGCGATTTTAATGCATAAATCCAGTTTTATACTTTGATATTACCATATTCTCCTCTCTCTTCCAGGTTAAGGCTCGCAAACCCTCTTATTGGAGCCCGCCTTTTCATTTGGATTTGTTGTCCTTGTTCAGGATCGCAGGAAAGAGGAAGTAGCATACTGGACACCAAAGAAGGAGGTACAGTTTGTGGCGCTAGAGGACAGCTGCTAGAACACACTAGTTTAATCACAAAAATCCCACAGAAACCAAAACACAACAATACAAAGAAGTGTGCAGGGCATGTAATAAATTCACAAAGATATATATCAGTGGTGCTTCCACCTTAGGTGAATGTGTAAATCAAAATAAAAATAAGGATAAATACCCCAATATAATAGATGTCAGTAGGTATAAACCCTGTACATAAAAAACAGGAGAAACATAGCATAATACTGCAATGGTGAGTAGATCTAATACAGTAGTCTATATAGTCCAACTCACATATGGTGTGGCCTGTTAACAGAGGAACTGGCTCAGGTAGTGTCACTTTAAGAAACGTTCTTAGGTGAATTCCAAAAGGATGAAGCTTGGTCATCAATGTATAGGAGGAACAGGATAGGCAAACACCAGTTAGAAGTATAACAACAATATCATTTATTAAAAAATATATAAAATTTTACATTCAGAATTCTAGGATGCCAACAAGGAGCACAACGCGTTTCAACACTAAAATACATCTTCCTCAGGTGCAAGTTTGTTTCTAATATTGCACCTGAGGAAGACGCATTTTAGCGTCGAAACGCGTTGTGCTCCTTGTTGGAATCCCAGAATTATGAATGTAAGATTTTATATATTTTTTAATAAATTATATTGTTGTTATACTTCTAACTGGTGTTTGCCTATCCTGCCACAGGCTGCTCACTTTTTAGTAGACATGCCCCTACTCGCGGTATAGCAAGTAGGGGCATTCGGGAGATTTGAATCTCCCTTATGCTATTTTTGGGGTCATAGAGTGAGGGAGGACCTGGGGGGCTAAGTGGTGGGGAGCACTGCTCCCTTCTGTTTCTATCTTTACATATGGCTTTTTATTTGGCCTTTTTTGGGGCTGAAAAATGAAGATTTTAGAAAAAAGAAGACGTTAAATGGTAAGTTTAATTTTTCTTTACAGGTTAGTTATTTTATTCCCCCCTCACTATTTTTAGGGTGAGGGGGGTAGGTAGGGGATAGTTTTATTTGGGTGGTGGGGGGTGACTAGGGGCTTGGGACCCCTAGTCACCTTGATTGGGGGTGTGAATTTTTATTTAGGGGCCCCCACCCGCCGCTCGGGGGGGGGAAGCCGGGGGACAGTAGGTCCCCCCTTATTGTTTTTTTGGGCCCCCACCCACCGCTCAGGGGTGGGGGCCAGAGGGAAGGACAGTAGGTGTCCCCCCCCACATTCCTATTTAGGGCCCCCAACCACCGCTCAGGGGTGGGGGCGGGGGGGGGAACAGTAGGTCCCCCCCCTTATTGTTTTTTAGGGCCCGCCGCGCAGGGATGGGGGTCGGATAGTAAGTTTTTTTTTTTAAACAGTGAGCAGCCACATGCTGCTCACTGTTTAGTAGACATGCCCCTACTCGCGGTATAGTGAGTAGGGGCATTCGGGAGATTTTAATCTCCCTTATGCTATTATGAGGGTCATATTGACCCCCATAGAGTGAGGGAGGACCTGGGGGACTTAGGGACTTTTGGAAATTAGGGACTACGGATCTGAATAGGACTGTCAGGAGGAAGCTAGTGGTGGCCGCGAAGGACAAGCTCAGGTAAGTATAACTCACCTTTCCCTGTACTCCTCAACCACAGGAATGCTACAGAGTCGCTTTGATATGCTGCTCTGTTGTGTATTTGTACCCCAGCTCTTCTAGACTGTAAGCTCGCTTGAGCAGGGCCCTCATCTACCTATTGTTCCTGTGTCAATGTGTAATCGTCTCATTTATGTTAACCCCCCCCCTTCCATAACATTGTAAAGTGCTGCGGAATTAGTTGGCGCTATATAAATACCAATAATAATAATAATATATATCCCACAATGCTTTGTTTAGCTAAATAAACGTATTTAAATCTGGATATAAATTCACCCATCTATAAACTTGTGCTATTAACTCGCAAGGCAAGAAACACCAAAACTATTTACACAAAACTCTATGTACCTCAGCTGGCACAACTTCAACTATAGAAGTGGCTTTTAAACATTGGGGTATAATTGTTCGATAATTACGGACACTTTAATGCCAGCCTATGAGCCATTAACACGAGCACAGAGATCGCTCTGTACCAATACAGTTCAGCAACACTTTTACCATCATTGTACAACAGTTACGTTCAAGTTTTCGCAATCCTTCTGAAGTAGATTTATAGACACATCAATGTCGCTCTGTCAACTTCTGGGGTCTTTGCAGATTTAGAAAAGACCTAATGGTGACATTACTGCTTGGAATGCGGAGGCCTGAAGGAACAGCCGAGATGAGCTATACTTACCTTACTTATGCTGTCCCTTGCAGACGCAACCGTGTTCGAACTTGAGCTATTGTCACATCAAGTGCTATACTCTTAAGACCAAATGAGATAGCAGGAGCCTCCACTGTTATTGTCTTGACCTGAATGAGACAATGTCTTATTCCATAGCAGTTATTAGAGAAAGCTATAGGAAGAGACAAACTTAACAGTGGTAGCTCCATCTTTTGTGAAGTTTTGCCATACATATGTATGTAGGTGGGTTATGTATTATGTTAAGTGTGTGAATGTGGGCTGTTTGAGGTATGGTTTGTGTGCGGTTACGTGCATGTGTGGGAGGCTTCATGTGGGGTTGTGTGTCGTTAGTGTTATTTGTGTGTGTATGTCTGGAGATGTGGGGGCTTCCATGGGTTTCAGCGGAGTCCAGGCTGTGGTAGCCTGTGGGCTGCTCTCCTCCAGAGCAGATTCCCCTTCACAAGCGCTGGGAGGAGGTGATCTAAGATCGCAGAGTTTACAATTATATAAAGGGGATATTTTTAACAAGTAGTTGAAAGTAGTAGGTGAAAGATGCCCTTCTCAAGATTACAATCTACGAGGATTTAAGGGAGGCGGATATATCTAATAAAACCTGGTTTCCCTGTTCTAAGGCAGAGACATTACCAACACTATCACCAGCCAATATATACCAGACAAAGTCCCACTGGGACTCCTGTTAGGACAGTTTCAAGGAGATCATCCTATCTCCCCAGCCAGTTTGGGTCTGGCAGCTCTCCCTGTTGTGTAAAGGCACCTCAAGTGCCATAGGTTGCTAATCCCTGAACAAGTTCCACTGAACTAAAGCAATTTTCAACAATTCCCTCTGCCAATCACCAGAGCCTTAAAGTTACATAATCATGAAAACTGTATTGCAATGTCATTTGACTTGCACCTGTGCAACTGTTACTCCATTATATTTCTCTATACAATAATATGTTTTAAAATAAAAATAAGCACAAGACATAGTTGTCCCTTTGACACCTCTTGTTATCTAAACTGCTGAATCTGCATATATGTTTTGTAATATAGCACTCAACCCTCCTAAAGAAGACAGCCACTTGGTCCTAAAAAGCAGGCCACAAGAAATATTCCACATTGGGATCATTTCAGTCTAGTGCCATTTCTACACCACCCTACAAACTCTGTGTTTACAGCTGCCACAGCAATATTTCCACATCACTACTGAAATTAATATTAAAAGAAGAAAAAAAAATAGATTAAAAAAATGATGCACATGAATGAGTTAATCACCTCTTCCCTAATACAAGTGTAATAAATCCATATGACAGGATAGTACCGGCTATAATATAATATTCCCCTAGAAACTGAATTCATTTTCATTAGCATTTAAACGTGTATTATTCTTGGATAAGCAGCCTCCCATGACTACAGTGAGAAGCATTCCCAAGCAACCTATGGCTGTCTGGCTGTGATGGGAGTTGTGTCCCAGCCTTAATAGTAGCAAAGTATAGTAAGCACCTTTAGTAAGGCTATGGTGTGAAAGGATGCAGACGGGTTATCCAGAAGAATCCGCTCTTTTAACAGGTTACTCCCATAGGCAAAGTAATAGAAGGAGTCCCCTCCGGGCTGCAGGCCAGCTGTGCTTGCGGTCGCCATGTGTTTGGCTGCTCTCACAGACAGTGAGGTACAGAATGCCCAGCCGGTACAGCATACTCCTTAGAGCGGGGGCGCGCACGGCGGGCACGTGCTTGGGTGGCAGAGGAGGGAGGGCTCCCGCTGAATGAGAAGCCGGTGGAATGGAATGTAGAACGCGCAGGGGTTCTAGAACGTCATGGGGACAATCTCTCCGCTAATCATACGGCCCCGAGGTACTGTGTGCGATACACGGGGAAAGGACCAGAGGCCATGCACCCGGGCTATATAATAACATAGCCAGCAGGCTGACACAAAATGGAGGGGGCATGTCACATGCTCATATTACTGCGGGCTGGGCAGAGGAACCTACCAGGGAGGGGGACATCACAGAAACAGAGATCACAGGGTGAGAAATCACCACTCAGGGTGAGAATACAGAATTCATTTCACATTTTAAGGCAAGATGTGAGAAAGAACCACAATAATGTGAAGAAATACATAGAAAGAGGTTAAAGAATACCTAGAGAGAGGCTTGGAAAACGGGAAACCCGTCAGCCCAACCGACATTGGAAGTTAAAGGAAATGTTCACAGTACTTATATACAACACTGAGAGCAGAAACGGGGCTGGAAAAAAGGATCACCTGTGCAGGCAGGGCATTACATGCGTCAGGAGTGAAAAATCACATCATAAGGAAACAGTAACAATGGGCAAAACAAGCGAGAAATATACACAGTGTAAATAAGGTATATAGGTAATGTTCGTCTCGCACTACTTCAGTTGCCAGACATTTCTATTTCAGCATTGTGCTTTCAGTTGTGTGCCCTTTTCTTCCAGATTGCCTTATTGCTGTTGGGACTCCTTGAGGATTTTCTTAATACCTTGGTTCAGAGCACATCCCGCTTGGGGTAACCCTACTGGCACCTTTTTCTTTGTGCATGGTCTGTGATTGACTAGCAGTCCTTTTGATCGTCTATCTATTTTCTTTGCCTTGCTACTTTGCTACTTTATTACCTTGTGTACATTTGTAAAATTTTTTGCTCAGGGTTACTGTTGCTTTATGATGTAATATTCATTCCATTGTGGTTTTTGTTTTATAACATTCCATCTTGACACCTGTAATTGACTGACTGCAGAGGTAATGCTTTTTTGAAGCACTGTTTCTGTTCTCGATATTCTGTGAGTACCGGATAATATATATTAACCCCCTCATCCACTACTCCGTACAGGGTTGAATTAACATAGGGGCTGACTGAAGCACATGGAATAGGCCCATTGATTTAAATAAAAAATAATATTTTTTTTTTTTTTTACACACTACTCTTAGGGATGCCAGGTATTTCTCAGGTATTTCTTAGGGATGCCAGGTATTTCTCAGAAGTATTTCGCAGAAGTATTTCTCTGGTATTTGAGGCTGCCTAGCCTTACTGCAATACTGGCAATACAAATGTCAGTGTCAGTATAAACAGAGATTATTCTGCAATACCAGCGCTGGCCAGTAGGTGTGTGTTTGGAGAGAGGCAGGGATAAGAAGTTACAGCATCTCCCTCCCTGCCATTCTCTATTCACTAATCCGCAGGGGAGCAGTTCTGCACAGAGAGTCCAGACAGCAGCTTCAAGCCTGCAGAGACAGCCAACAGCTCAGGTAAGTGTGGGATGGGGGAAAGGCTGCAGGGAGACATGGGGACAGACACTAGGGGACACTCGGAGACACTAAGGGACACTGTGAGACATGGGGACATTGAGGCACTATGGGACAATGGGAGACATAGGGACACTTGGGAACACTGAGACACTAGGGGGCACTGAGAGACCCGGGGAAACAGACACTAGGGGAAACTGTGAGAGATGGGGATGGTGAGAAACTTGGGGAAACTGTCCCCATGTCTCCCAGTGTTCCCTAGTATCTCAGTGTCCCCATGTCTCCCAGTGTCCCAATGTCTCTCAATGTCCCCAAGTGTCCTAGTGACATGGGGACACTAAGGGACTAGGAGACAAGGGGACACAGATATGCCCTCGTTTTGGGGATGTTCGCCCTTTCTGCAGTTCTGGGTTTGTGAAATGCAAACTAGGCATGTGAATGGGAAAATGTTTCGATTCGGTTCAGCATTCCGAAATTCGGGACTTCGGCAATTCGGCACTTCGGAAATTCGGTAATTTCGGGACCTCGGCACTTTGACACTTAGGAATTCGGCCACTTCGACACTTAGGAATTTCAGAACTTCTCTTGCAGCCACTTGGTAGATAACTCCCTAATTCCCACGGTAAAAATTACTTAGCATTAGTAAATTGTGCCCCTACTCGCTATACCGCGAGTATAAAAAAAAACACTGTTAAAAAATAAATAAATAAAGGGTCCCCCCCTGCCGAGCCCCCACCCGCGACACGCGAGTGGGGGCTTTTAAACTAATGGGGGGCCTATTGCCCACACCCCTGAGCGGTGGGTGGGGCCCTAAATACTAATTAGTCGGGAACCTAATGTCCTCCCCCCCTGGCCCCAACCCCTGAGTGGTGGGTGGGGGCCCTAAATTAGAATGGAGGGGACCTAATGTCCTCCCCTTGCACCCACCCCTGAGCGGTGGGTGGGGGCCCTAAAAACTAATTAGGGGGGGACACCTAATGTCCCCCCCCATGGTCCCCACCCCTGAGCGATGGGTAGGGGCCCTAAATTAGAAAGGGGGGTCCTAATGTCCTCCCCCCTGGCCCCCACCCCTGAGCGGTGGGTGGGGGCCCTAAAAACTAATTAGGGGGGACCTAGTATCCTCCCCCCTGGCCCCACCCCTGAGCGGCGGGTGGGGGCCCTAAATAAAAAATTACCCCCCTCCCCAGGTGACATGGGGTCCCCAAACCCCTAGTCACCCCCTTCCCAAAAAAATGAACCCCTACCTACCCCCCTCACCCTAAAAATAGTAAAATAAAACTTACCATTTGATGTTTTCTTTCTTCTAAAATCTTATTTTTTCAGCCCCAAAAAAGGCCAAATAAAAAGCTATAATAACCGACACACTTTAAAAAAAAAAAACCTAAAAAAAAACGAGCGCAAAAAAAAAAATCCATCTTCACCCATGGAGGGCTCCGCGCAGATTGAGCTCTGTGGGGGGGGTGGGGGGGAGGCTTATAAAGGCTTATGGGGCTGAAAAAAGAAGATTTTTGAAGAAAGAAAACATCAAATGGTAAGTTTTATTTTATTTTTTATATAGCGAGTAGGGGCATAATTTACTAATACTAAGTAATCTTTACTTAGTATTAGTAAATTTGGCTGAAAGACCAATTTAGGTCTTTCAACCTTTTAGTAGATAGCTCCCTAATACCGTGGGAATTAGAGAGTTATCTACTTATCCGTTCCTGTCATTACATTGACAGGCTAAGTAACATATTTTATATGAATGTATGTTACTTGATTGTTGTAAGTGTTGCAAATGCTTACAGCTGAATTCTGGCTATGTTTGTATACTTTTTATTTAAAATTGTATACAGTGTAACATTCTTTATTCTTCCACTGGGTAAGTATATTAGTACTTAGGCAATACTGTGCTTCGGCACTTTGACACTTCGGAACTTCGGCAACTTTGGAACTTCGGCACTTCAACACTTCGTAAATTTGGTAATTTCGGAACTTTTGGGACCTTGGCAATTCGGCACTTCAGCAATTTTGCACCTCGGCTATTCGGACATTCGAAATTCATATTCCGACCGAAACGAATTGCACATGTCTAATGCAAACACAGGAGATGCAGACCATGTTCCATTTGTAATAGGAGATGTGCTATCCTCCGACAGAGTGCCCCCTCACAGACAGCTCTCTCTTGCAATCACAATTTGCTTCTAATTTTGTTTTATTTTGCAAAATTATGTGTACAAGTTTCTACTGTATGGAACCATTCCATTTAGTGGTGTATTTTGGTTTTGTGTTTCCCTAGGCATGACCAAACAGTGACACTTTGCCTGACAGACACACACCTTCACTGATACACATACACTCACAGTCAGACACACAATCATTGGCACTCACAATGCTTAACCAAGACACCCATTCACAGGTACACATTCTCAGATACACATACACTGACATACACACCCCCTTATTGATTTTTCACTCTCTGACAAACACACACACAATCACTGATAGTAACAAATATGCATTGACAGACACACACTCTCTCTGATTGACACACACCTTCACTGATTTGACATACTCTGACAGACACATTCACTAGTACAGGACTTGACAAATTTGGAATCTAGGTGCCAGTAAAAAAAGTTAGGAGCCAGTTTTTTTTTTATATAACTAGCAAAGTTTAATTTACAGCGAGAAATATACAATTCAATAAAGGGACACTATAGTCACCAGAACCAATACAGATTAATGTAGTTGTTCTAGTGCATAGAGCCTGTCTTTGTAACCTTTTCAATGTAAACGCTGCGTTTTCAGAGAAAAGGCAACGTTTACATCATTTCCTAGTAACACCTCTAGTGACAGTAACTCAGACGGCCACACAGTGTGCAGCACCTATGTTCAGTGCCTCCATGCAGAGCGTGGAGACTCTGAATGTTATCCATAGAGAACATGCACAATATTTTCCCAATGTTTTCCTTTTACTGCAGTAGTTCCCAACCCAGTCCTTAAATACCCCCTAACAGCCCAAGATTTAGAGATTACCAGTGGCGGACCTACTGCAGTCGCAGGGGTTGCAGCTGCAACCAGACCCCCCACTCCAAGAGGCCCGGCCGCCCAGCGGACCCTTGCAACTGCGGTGCCCTCCGGCTAAGGAAAGCGGCCCCGGACCGTGCGGTAGAACCGCTGGGGTTGCGTGTTTAGTGGCCCATGTCAGGACCACCCGATGGCAATGAATTACCGCAGCATCTCCAGTCAATATGAGTATTTTAAAAAGTAAAACTTATCACGACAATGATATCACCAGAAAAAGTGCAGTTTTTTTAGTGGCTACTACAAAAGACTTGACATACCCCATTTTGAATAACATGGGTTGTCTACTTTTTCAAATGGTATGCCATGATGGGGTTAATTTTTATTCCTGGGCTGCCATACGGTCTCAAAGGCAACATAGCCAATCTGGCAAATAGCAATTTACAAAAACAGAAATTGGCAAATCTTACGTTTGACCCTGTAACTTTCCAAATCACCATAAAACATGTACTTGAGGGGTACTGTTGTACTCGTGAGACATTACTCTACACAAATATGAGTGTTTTAGAGCATTAAAATGTATTATACTGATAATATCATTGGTGAAATGGCAGTTTATGTGTGAAAAATTAAAAATAACAAATATAAACGCTCATTTTGGCCAGGGTTTGTGACTAAATGGCTACTAATAAAGACTGGACATACCTCATTTTGAATACCGTGGGTTGTCTACTTTTACAAATGGTATGCCATGATGGGGTTAATTTTCATTCCTGGGCTGCCATATGGTCTCAAAGGTAACATAGGCCCAGCAAACCAATCTGACAAATTTCAATGTGCAAACATGGAAAAGAGGAAAGCCCTACATTTGACCCCTGTAAGTTTGCAAAAACCCATAAAACTTGTACATTGGGGGTACTGTTGTACTCAGGAGATGTTAATTATTGGGGTGTTCTTTGTCAGTAGCACATAACAGGAAGATGTTACTGAACACATATTGGGGTGTTCTGTGGCAGTAACCCTTACATTTCTCAGTACATATATTCTTAAATTGCTATATGTGTCAAAAAAATCACCAATTATAATTTCTTTTAAATTTGGCATAGATTGGTGGTAAAATAGTTGCATGAAAAGAGTCAAAATACCCCAAGTTTAATAGGTTGTCTCCTTTTAAAAAATATATACATGTAAAGGGTTATTCAGGGATTCCTGACAGATATCAGGGTTGCAATGTAACCTTTGTTAATTTAAAAAAAAAATGGTTTGGAAGTAGCAAAGTGCTACTTGTACTTATTGCCCTATAACTTGCAAAAAAGCTAAGAACATGTTAACATTGGGTATTTCTAAACTCAGGACAAAATGTAGAAACTATTTAGCATTGGCGTATTTTTGCGGTTGTAGATGCGTAACAGATTTTTGGGGTCAAAGTAAGAAAAGTTGTGGGGTTTTTTTCATCATATTTTATAATTTTTTATAGTAAATTATATGATATGATGAAAATAATGGTATCTTTAGAAAGACCATTTAATGGCGAGAAAAACTGTATATAATATGTAGGGGTACAGTAAATGAGGAAGAGGAAAATTACAGCTAAACACAAACACCGCAGAAATGTAAAAACAGCCCTGGTCCTTAACGGTAAGAAAATTGAAAAACGGTCTGGTCACTAAGGGGTTAAAATCCTATTATAATAACTGAAAATCATATTCATGAAATAGCCTCATTCAGATAGGTGATGAGACCAAACACACCACGAGTTACATCATCGGTGGTCACAGAGCTCTCACGTGACTGAAGGTATACGTAGGATGGGAGAACACGTAGGAGAGAGTTCAGAGCTTCTGTATGAGCATTTTTAATGGGTTACATTCGTTATGAACTCACCTGGATTTTTATATAAATATAAATATATATATTTTTAAATGTGAATAAAAAAAAAATAACAATATCGGGGCCTGCTTTGCTTTTTCTCTCTCTTCGGTTGCTGCAGGATTCAGCTACTTTGGGGATTGTCCCCTCTCAAACACACACTGTCAAACCTAGAGCAGAAGAGTCTCTGTTATATGTGAGTGCCATCTGTAAGTGACTATAGAAGGGTGGTTGATACATTGTTAATATACTCTCTGCAAAATATCAAGGTTATTCACTAAAGTGAGAAATGTGGGCAATTCAAAGTGAATTTCAAAGTTAAGGCTAAAATAGCCAAACTGGAAAAATTCTGCAAGTCAACTATGCTTCCAGTTTGACCATAGTGCATGAATGAGAAAACTGCATAAGCATCACTAAAGACGATATTAATAAAATGTTTCTGATTTTTATTTTGTTTTTACAATTCTTAATAAAATCTCAAATAAAGTTATTTGCTGAAAACTTGTCTGTATTCCTTACACATATTAGTAGGTAACGTGATACAGTTACACAATTTTAATAAACTAGTGGATTTAGAAAAAAAAAAAGTAATCATTGTCTATGTTACTGGGCCTCAGCTCATTTGTGCTATTTGGTGACATATTAGTAGGTAACGTTATTCAGTTACACAATTTAATAAACTACTCGATTGAGAAGAAAATAATCATTGTCTATGTTACTGGACGGCCGCTTATTTGTGCTGCTTGGTGGCAAGGGGGTCCCCAACCTCCTAGCCATTAACTTCCAAAAATTCACATTAAGTGGAGAGAGCTACTCTCTGAGCACTGCTGGTTAAAAATGGGGTCAGGGATGCATCATTGATATTGTTTATTTTTTTTCAATCCCTCAGTAACAGTGCATTCAGGGGTGTAAGAATATCTCAGCTCTCTAAGAGTAAATGCAGGGGTTTCACGGACGTGGCGTACCTACTGGGGTCGCAGCTGCGACCAGGCCCCTCACTCCAGGGGAGCATTCTGCAGCCACGATCCCTACGACTGTGGGCCACCTGGATACCTCCCGGGTGTCTGACAGGAGGGGAGAGCTGTGCTGCTCCCCTCCTGCCTGTGTTTAGCATGGCCGAGCAGTCTGTCAGGAAATGCTCACTAAGTGAGTGCTTCCTGTCAGACTAGGATGCACCCCCCTGTGTTCCTCCTGTCATACGGACGGCTGTGTTCACGGAAAAGGCGGCGAGGGAGCTGCGTTTTGCCTGCTCTGCTCCCTCGCACGCCGTTTGCTGATCACGGGAGCCGGAATATGACGTCATAGTCTGGCTCCCGGCATCAGTAGACAGCCCGTGCGGCGTGAGGGAGCAGTGTAGGTAGAGCACAACTCTCTCACTGAAGCCCCACTGGGCCCCAGGGACAGATTCACGCCAGCTCTCCAGGTAGGGAGGCTGGTTGGACATTTTAAAATTTTAAAAATAGGAATAATTTGTATATGTGTCTGTGAGTATGTGTCTGTTAGTGTGTGTGTGTGTATGTATGTGTCTCTATTTATGGGTCTCTGTGTGTTTGTATGTATGTGTGTGTCTGCATATGTATCTGTATGTCTGCGTGCAGGGACGTATAGGGCAATTTTCACCCTGGGGCCCTGTGGTTTCTAGTTACGCCTCTGGTCAAGGTTGTACACCAAACACTTTTTTTGTGCCTATAAGTAGCAACTTCAGAAAGTTTATGATCTTTGCAACCCACTATGTCGGCACTTACAGCACAAAAACACAGAACTCTGCCCAATGCACAGACTTCTGGTTCTGTTTATTTTGAAAGACTACACAATACGATTGTAATATTTTGTGGTTCTCTCAAAAAGTCATTAAATATCAACAACAATACCACCTCACCTTCACTCCCTCCCTCCCTATCCACTAATTTTTTATTCAATACATTGATAATCAAGCAGTTATTTTGTTGCATTTATCAATTTTATAATGTTTCTCATTTATTTATCTCTCATTGCATTTCAAAGATCTTTGCAGGTGCTCTATAAATTATGGAACATCTGTTATGTACATATTAAACTTCTTTAGTGTTATAGAACCGATTCACGTTTAAATCCTAATAAAATTGATTAATAAAAAAATATACTTTGGAAGCAATATTAAAATCAGTATGATATATTGTCTTCATTTAGCCGTCAAGGCACGAATGCTACAACATGACAGCCTTTTTAATTCGAAGGCCATCTTGATAATCTATTTATAGAGAAGCTGTTTTGTGCAATGGTTACAGTGTCTCATGATAGCAACATAACATTAGTCAAGGTGTGGCTGATATACACTGATCAGCCACAACATTAAAACCAATGAAAATAGTTACCTGTGCACTATCCACAATCCCTATGAACATTATATAACTGGAGATTTTTAGTATCACTCCAATGGCCATTTAAATGTAAGCTCACCTGCCACGTGAAGGCAAACCTCTTAGGTGAGTTGTACGCTAACAATTCATCTTGCTTCTTTCAGCTTCAGATAAAAAAAAAAACCTCTAATGAGACAGAGAGAGGTATTTTGCTAAACCCATACATACTTATTAAAGAACCACCATAGTGCCAGGAAAACAAACTCGTTTTTCAGGCACTATGTAGTCCTTAGGTTCCCCCCACCCTCATGGCCCCCCTCCCACTGGGCTGAAGGGGTTAAAACCCCTACAGCCACTTACCTTTCTCCAGCACCGGGCTCCCTTGGCGCTGGGGAACTCTCCTCCTCCGAAGACGTCAGCGCCGCATGCACATGCGCGGCAAAAGCCGCGCGCACATTCGAACCGCCCATAGGAAAGCATTACTCAATGCTTTCCTATATACGTCAGCATCTTCTAACTGATTTTCACAGTGAGAATCACGGAAGCGGCCTCTAGTGGCTGTCAGCGATACAGCCACTAGAGGCTGGATTAACCCTTAGTGTAAACATAGCAGTTTCTCTGAAACTGCTATGTTTTCAGCTGCAGGGTTAAAACTAGAGGGACCTGGCACCCAGATCACTTCATTCAGCTGAAGTGGTCTGGGTGCCTATAGAGGTCCTTTAACTATAAATAGGGAACATATGGGGTGGGCGGCAACATTGTAACATGGCTGTGTGATACAAAAGCAATGTGAAATATAAAAATAAGTCCTGTGCTCAAACTCCCATGGACCCCAGGAGTAGCCCCTAGACATAAACCCTAATGTGTACAATAAAAAACAAAGTTACTCTTGTGGTAGGGTGCAAGGGAACACCATTGCCAAGAGGGGTTGTAACATCCACATGAAAGTCAGGACCCAAGGTCTCCCAGCAGACCATTGCCTCTGCCGGCCTGCCTTCTTCCCATAGTGCATCCTGCTGTTATCTCTTTTCCAGATAAATGACGCAACCTGCCATTCAACTGATCTAAACGAAAATGGGATTCATCAGATCACGCAACCTTCTTTCATTGCTCTATGGTTCACTTCTGATGCTCACATCCCCATTGAAGGTTCTTTCAGCGGTGGACAAGGATCACCATGGGCACTCTAACCTTTCTGCAGCTATGCTGCAATCTGTGTTGCACTCAGGGCCGTCTTTAATGCAGGGCAAACGGGGCAGCTGCCCCGGCCCCAGTTACTCTTGTGGGGCCCAAAGCAGCTGCCCCGTGGGCCCCGCTGCCCTCAACAATTTTCCCCCCATGGGGCTGCCGGCCCGCACATTAAGGAGGCCACCGGGTGGGTATTATAAGCAAGGGCCCGGTCACATGCTGTAGCCCTTTAACAGTGTGACTGGGCTCTTTGCTTTTTGGCAGCGCTGGGAGGAAGTGACGGCTGCGAGTCACTTCCTCCCACTAAGGAGACGAGCTGCACGGGAGACGAAGGAGGGAGCCTTTGCCGGAAGAGGCAGATCCCAACAGCCTCAGCCTTCAGTCTGGACACTGGGGAACCACCTTCCAAGGTAGGAAAGTAGAGGGTGGGTTTAAAAGTGTAAATTTATGTCAGTATGTCTGTGTATGTGTTTGTGTCAGTATATCTGTCATTGTATGTTTGTCAGTATGTCTGTCATTGTATATGTCTGTGTTTGTGTCAGTATGTCTGTCAGTATATGTTTATGTCAGTATGTCTGTCTGTGTATGTGTCTGTGTTTGTGTCAGTATGTCTGTCAGTGTATGTTTATGTGTCTGTGTTTGTCAGTATGTCTGTCATTGTATGTTTATGTCAGTATGTCTGTGTATGTGTCTGTGCTTGTGTCAGTATGTCTGTCTGTGTATGTCAGTCATTGTATGTCTTTGTGTATGTGTGTTAGTATGTCTGACAGTGTATGTCTGTGTAAGTGTGTCAGCATATGTGTCTGCGTGTGTGTCAGTATGTCTGTCAGTGTATGTGTGTGTCAGTATGTCTGTAGTGTATGTCTCTGTGTGAGTATGACTGTCAATGTGTGTCTTTCAGTGTATGTCTCTGTGTATGTGTGTTAGTATGTCTAGCAGGGTCCAGGGGCCCCAAGCAGATGGTTGCACTGGTGTTCTGACACCTTTCTATCATGGCTAGCATTAAGTTTCTCAGCACTTCGAGCTACAGTAGCTCTTCTATGTGATCAGGCCAGACAGGCTAGCCTTCACTTCCCATGTGCATCAAGGAGCGTTGGGCACCCGTAACCATGATGCTGGTTCACCGGTTGTCTTTCCTTGCACCACTTTTGGTAGTTCATAACCTCTGCATACCGGAACACCCCACAACGCTTGCCATTTTGGAGATGCTCTGATTCAGTCGTCTAGCCATCACTATTTGTCCCTTGTTAAAGTCACCAAATCTTTTCACTTGCCCATTTTTACTGCTTCTAACACATGAAACTCAAGAACTGATTTTTCACCTGCAGCCCAATATATCCCACCGACTGACAGATGTATAGTATATAATCAATGTTATTCACTTCATCTGTCAGTGGGTTTAATGTTGTGGCTGATCAGTATATATATAGATGCAGACTTAAGGGTGAAGGGACACTTTTGAAAGCTTGTCTTTCAAATATTATGTTTGTTCAATAAAAAAGTTATCATTGCATACTTCGATACTCTGGTTATATTGGCATCTTATATATATATAAATAGCCATATAATGAAATGAAGTAGAGGGAAGTCCCAGATAAGGGGAAGCACTAAATGGGATTTCTGTGTCCAAATTGGGGGATGCCCTGGTAATTCTTGGATTGCATTTTAAAGGTGAGTACAGGACTGTAATGCAGGTTAATTCTGCATATCCCTTAAGTGGTATGTCAGGAAATACATGAATATATAAACATAGCCTCTCCCATTCATCTTCTCATGTAACGGTTCAGAATAACCACTAAATTACATTGAGGTTGTTTCAGTATATCCGGCACCTAAAGGATAATGCACCAAAGTGCACTGAACACGGCCTAAATACAATATTAATGTATGCAGGGTCAATTTTTATTTTAAGTGCCTGTTGATAATTAACATAATTGGATGATGTGTTATTTAAGTGCTAAAATCATTCTGAAGGAGATTGACCTGAAATAAAGCAATTTATCAGAGAGCAAGCCTAAATAAATGTTCTGCCCTTTATTAATTCAAACTGTAATAGATTTTTTTTTTTTCAAATAGTAAGCATGAATTTATGTGTTTTGTGACAATAAAGGTTATTTAAGTTTTGGAATTTTGAAAAAGAAAGAGGGAAGGGCTCATGTCATTGTACAGAACACTGGTGAGACCTCACTTGGAGTATTGTACGCAGTACTGGAGACCGTATTTCCAGAAGGATATTGATACTTTAGAGAGGGTTCAGAGAAGGGCTACTAAACTGGTTCATGGATTGCGGGATAAAACTTACCAGGAAAGGTTAAAGGGTCTTAACATGTATAGCTTGGAGGAAAGGCGAGACAGGGTGATATGATAGAAACATTTAAATATATAAAGGGAATCAACACAGCAAAGGAGGAGGACTAAATTTAAAAGAAGAAAAACTACCACAACAAGAGGACATAGTCTTAAATTAGAGGGGCAAAGGTTTAAAAATAATTTTAGGAAATATTACTTTACTGAGAGGGTAGTGGATGCATGGAATAGCCTTCCCGCTGAAGTGGTAGAGGTTAACACACAGTAAAGGAGTTTAAGCATGCATGGGATAGGCATAAGGCTATCCTAACTATAAGATAAGGCCAGGGACTAATGAAATTATTTAGAAAATTGGGCAGACTAGGTGGGCCGAATGGTTCTTATCTGCTGTCACATTCTATGTTTCTATCTGGTTGCAAATCAGCTGAGGTATTTTTTAAATAGTACAACAATGGGATCCAGTTGAAATTAGAAGGGATCCATTTGTTAGCATTCAGTCGATATTGAATACAGGAATTTTAACAACCAAATACAGGAGAACTGACCTGAATTAAATTAACAGAACTTGCAAAAGCAAATTCAGCAGGTAATGAATAGACCCTATAGAGCACGGGTTCACAACCCCCGTGCTGCGGACCATCAGTTATACCTGACCATCTATACCGTCAGATGAAAGCTTTTGCGGACCGGCAATAAATTGCTGCAACATATTTCCCCAGTGATATCATCTTATTATCATAGCACTGGAAAATGTGTACTGCTGGCAGTTGGCAGGGGAGGGAGTGAGAGAGGACCCGGGGAGCTTTAACCTGCAGCTCCGCCGGGTTCTCCTCTCGCGAGCTCAGAGCATTGCCGCTAGAGTTCACTCTCACCACTGGGACCACCAGGGCTTTCCCACAGGACCACCAGGGATTGCAAGAAATGTTCCCCGTCC